TTGTTCTGCTGACAAGAGTTTTACAGTGGATGTGTGTTCTGGTTCTTATACAGTATATCAGTCCATTATTTGAACATATAAAACTATCCACTCCACCTCCATTATGGTAGCAGAAAATGTTGCCAGGATATTTGTAATGCAGCTGCAAAGTTTCCACAAAATAAGACACAGTGTTGTCAAACCTCCACAGTATTGTCTGCCTGACAGCAGTGTTCATGAAGTCACCTCCGGGCCTCTTTTCCCAACTTTCACAGTCTTCTGCTGGGAAAGTACCACACCAGGTGAACACAGAAATTCACATATGTTTAAGTCATCCTCTGACCTAACATAGGTGTAAAGTTTCCTGCTGTTAGAAGCAAACACACACACACACGGTGAAGATTTCTCTCAGTCCAGCTGGAGACTATTAGTGTTTCTCCAGCCCACAGGAAGTCAGCCATCATTTAAGGCTGACAGGTACATGGAAGGATCTCACCGGGTCTTTGCTCTGCTGTTCTGCTCAGACATCAGCTCTGTAATGCTTTACAGCATCCTGGCATTCACCGTGATCATCTGGGCGATCAGCTGAAGGGAAACAGCCTGCTTTATGGAGTCGATTTTGACAACATGAGACAGAGTCCAACTGAGAGGCAACGCAGATTTCTTTACCTGTATTTTCCTGTAAGTTTTCATTGAAGCAGTTGGGGGGGGGGGGGGACGTTACTTTTCCACATGTTGTTCAATCGTGACTTGATTCAGTCATAAAAAGTAAAGAAACAACTTGTCTGGATGGGAAAACTTGAGCTGCGTACATGTGTGACATCACGTACAACAGCTGTGGGGAGCGATGGATCGTTGGACAAAAGACTAAGGGTCGATTCACACCTGTAGTTTGCTTCATTTGGTCTGGACCAAAAGGAAAATTATACACTGTTACATTTTAGTTCTTGTCCAGTCCCTGTTCACACTGATTTTTTAAACAAAATGAAACAAGAGGTGTAAATAGGAAGTTGACAGCAACAGTTTTGGCGATTGTTATCCTG